TGGGGGTGGGAGGCCTTTATGGTGTCTTGCACTGGGGCCCTGAAGGTTCTAGTTACGCCTCTGTTTTTTTGGCTAACAAAGGTAATGGCAATCATCTTTTGGTACCTGCTCTTAGTTGGGACTTTATGGAAGTTGGAAATGGTTGTCAGGTTTACTTCAAAGTTGCTCTCATGAATGCAAATCTTTTTCTCCTGACCCACATACAGAACTCTTTCTTTCCCATTTTAGAATGTATTTTATGTACCTGCTTTGGACTTCTTAGCTCCAGAGTGACTTTGATGGATAGACATAGTTTGGCACATAACATAAAGAATGGCAGCAATGCTAGTCAATAGGTCATTTTTTTGGAGTAAAGCTTCTTTGGGGCTTTTTCAGGAGATATTCTAGAAATGTATGAATCATTTGGTTGATATTGGTCCTCAGCCTACATGCAACAGGGCAGATCTAGCATGTGTGTAAAAATTTAGCAGGTTGGTTGCAGGCCCTAAAACAGGTGGCATTTAACTTATCCCCTAAAGTTAAGCCTCAACACTTTGCTCTCTCCCCAACAACATTTAACCCTTTACCTAAAATTAAAACTTAACCTTAACTTAACCGCCCAAAAAAACTAACCTTAACCCCTAAAATGGCAAAATACATTTTGTCACGGAGTCATCCCACTCGCCACACACTCAAACCAGATAGTGATGTATCTAAATGTTTTAAGATTAGACCACTTTAAGTTGTTGTCTATTTCTGATTATTGTATATACACAGCTCTTAATAATTTGTACACTAAATATTTCATTAAAATTATTTTATAGGAACTGGGGAAGAACTGGGAGGAAGTCCAGTCCGAAGATGATCGGGAATTTGGAGACAACAATGAAGAGTATGGGGGCATTTGTTTATTTAAAAATGGTTTCAAGGCCGACTCAGCTGTGCATTTTTGGTTTATGTATTACATTATATGTGTGTAACACATTTTTAAAATGCATTTTTGAAGTGCTGGGGATTATGTTTAATCTCTGGTTCTGCCTGACGCAGTCCCTACAAGCACCACTTGGATTATATCTGGTCAGGACTGTGTAGCTCCACAAGAGATTTACTTCAGAATGTTCTTAGCACTGCTTTATGTCCTCCTCTCTCTGTATTACCCGCTTTAATCATGCCGTGTCCTGTTGTGTCAGGTAGTCATAGAGACAGGAAGTGAGGTCAACTCTCCCCAATGTAGTCACAGAACACAATTAAAACTTGACAAAAGTATTTACTCTTCCTGTATTATATGTACTTTTTTTTAAATGAGTCAATGTTGTATTATGAAAATGTTTTTAAAAATTGCTTATTTTGCCAGGGACTGGTCTGACTGGGAGGAGCATCCTGTTTCTGCTGTGTGCCTGTTTTGTGACCAACAAGCAGATACAAATGAAAAATTACTCTGCCACATGAAGGTATGTATCCCAGGAGTGGCTTGAGAGAATACAGGACTACAATCTGTGAGTGTGCTGAAATGTCATAATGTTTTTATGGGTTGTTTATAGAGTGATATACATTTCAGCCTATAAATGCAAATAAGCCACTTACCTCTCTTTCCTATATGAGCAAGCACATTGCAGCGGGGTCCTTGGGATTGTGAAAATCCTGTGAAACCCATGGGCACAATGGGCCGAGAAAGATGCAGTGTGAGATTTGCCAAATTATGTGTATTACATTGCGCTGAGCAGTGGCGTTTGGCTAAAGAAGCAATTTTGCAGTAGAACATAAGCCTCTTCACTGTATACACTGCACACATATGACTTACTCCTTTTCCCCCAAAATTTGCCTTAATCTACCACAAGCAAGACTCTCACATATGCACATAAACCATTGAACCAGAGATTATGTTTAAAAAATGTAAACTCTTCCATTACATATATTTTTTTCTGCAGACAAAATATAGACAGAGGGCTAACGCACTGAGGCTGATTTACTAACGGAGTTGAGAATGTTCACTGAAAAAACGTGTGAATTTTCACTTCAGTTATCCAATAATGTGAATAGCATCTGCACATGATTGGGTATTGAAAGTGATCAGGGATTTGGTTTTCACATAATTGTATAACCAAAGTGAATATTTACACCATTTAACAGCAAAGTTTTTTAACTTCTTTAGTCTGCCAGCATCATTGTTTGAGCCTACCTTAAAGAATATAGTTAAAACAGTTGGGGGATAGTTAGCAACTAGCAATAAAAACCTTGATCTGGAGTATGTACAACTTAGTGTGTAGATTGGTGGGGTCAGAGTTCGTAACATAAGTGTTAAGGGATCAGGAGTATGTAAAGCACAGTGCAGCTTACAGAATGCAGTGGTCAGCACTGTGTAACCTAAAAGTTAGTGCATTGTGTGCAGGGTTTAGAGTATGTAACATATCACAACACAGTGTTTAGTGTGCAGTGATCTGGAATATATAACCTAGTGTAAACAATGCAGTGGTCAGGAGTATGTAGTGTACCTAGTGTCAGTGGGATTAAACATCATTGGTGTAAAGAAAGGTCCACCATTCATGGTCATTTAACTACAGAGTGTTTCTTTATTGGCTGGAACTATGCAGGCACAGTTGGACAGGAGACCACTCTGCCCAACAGTGCATGCATAGGTAGAGTGCCGGGTGCCAGGACCCACTGCCGCTCTGCATGCAATTGCAGTGTCTAAGGCGATCACTGCCTTGCCCTAAGATCCTGATGTATCCTACATATTTTATATTATCCTGCAAATAACCTCTACATGCCATTGCCTGGCGTGTTAATTATCAATGAAAAAAATACCATCTTTAACCAGTTGACATCCGCGGTGTTAAACCCCCTTCCCATCCAGGCCATTTTTCAGTATTCGGCGCTGCGGTACTTTGACTGACATTCATTCCGTCATGCAGCGCTGTACTGAAATGAATTTTATACCCTTTTTTGGGGACAGATGGAGCTTTCTTTTGGTGGTATACGTACAGCATATGGAAGCATTCTGACATGGTGCTAGATGCCTGCGACATGATGATCTATGGAACATGCCATACTAAAAAAATCAATCAAACTTTAACATATTTTATGAAGTTAAATGAAAAATAGGGTGCACACAGAAGCAGAAAACTAGATACCTTGCCACCACAAAACTAAAGGCTTGTGTTACACTTAGCAGACACATTTGTCATATAGGATAAATAAATAACTGGGAATTCAGCTGTGGCAGATTTATACCCACACAATGATCTTGTATTTTGGAGTGGAGGCCAAAACTACTGCTGCCAAAGGAGTATCTAATATATATCAGAAGTTGTAAGGTGACTCAACCCAATGTATTATCCCCAAAATCTGAATTATCAGTGTTGTCAAGTTAGCATATAATACAGGGGTCTCAAACCTCCGGCCCTCCAGCTGTGGTGAAACTACAAATCCCATGATGCATCTCTCTTCTGGAGTCATGTCTGTGGCTGTGAGAATCTTGCAATGCCTCATGGGATTTGTAGTTCCACCACAGCTGGAGGGCCAGAGGTTTGAGACCCCTGATCTAATGCATAATTTTTGCATAAAAGACTATTACACCCCAAAATTCCCCTTTTTTTTTTATTTGAACAATGATGCATTATGTTCTTGGCTTAATGGCTTTTCCTCACATCTTGTTGTCTGCAACAACACTTCTAGCAATAATATGTGGGCAGCTTGTGACTTTCCTGTACAAGGTCAAAGGATATCAACTTCTACCATGCACAAATTGAAACGATATTCCTTCCAAAAAAATGTTTCCATTGAATGATCATATTGCACATCTTTTGAATTGCTGTTTACATGGAAAGACTATTTTATAAATAAAAAATGTAAAAATATATTTTTTTACAGTCACTAGTTTTTCTTAAAAAATAAAATTAAAAAAAGATAAAACATAATTTGGATCACTGTCTACATGTATACAAAAAGCAGTGCTTTCACTCAGCTAAACAAATGTGTATTTTAAATTTCATTTAGGACAATCACCATTTTGATCTTCAGAAAATAAAAGTAGACCTAGGTAAGTAAAAAGAATAAAAGAATTCTACCCCATAATTTATTTCCCTCATAAAGGAGAAAAAAAAAAGAGAAGAGCCTCATACCCAAATGTCATCGTCCCGGTGCACAGTGCCAATTAAAAGAATGCCATTTCCTGGGTTTGAAAAGTTAAGACTTGCCTAATATGGGCATCTGCTGAAATAACATGGAAATAATCTGTAAATACATAAATATTGCAGTTCTAAAAATAAAAAAAAACAAGCCAACTAGAAAGTGAAAGATGGATGTTACCAAAAGTGCTTTAAATGGTTGGCATTTTTATTGATTCATATTGGAGGTTTTTAGACATCATCTTTAGACAAGCCCATTTCTTTAAAAAAAACCAAGGTGTCATAAACTACCTTTCTGCCTCCCTTTTTTTTTTTTAAACAAACACAGTCATTACTTATTTAATCCTAACATATGGGGAGTCTTAACTGGGAGAAAATGTGGTCAAGCATATCATGGCTGCTCATGATTGGTCTGTTGACTAAAACCTGTAATAATGGTTATTCAACCAATTCCAGAAGTTGCGGACATGTTCTATATCCATTGACGTGATAATTTTATACCAAGGCTGTTGCAGGCACTGTAATTAACATTCATCTATTTTGCTTACTCTTTCAGGCGTTCCTTTATATTTTGTTTATTAAAGGAGAACTATGGGTCAGTGCTTTTCTATCTAGAGGCAGAGCCAGCTGTACCCGCCCCCTCCCCTGTCCGTTCTGCCAGTCTGTGCTGGAGGATTGGACAGGGGAGGGGGGAATCCCTGCAGGGTACCGTGAGTGACAGTCACGGCTCTCTGCAGGCACAGGATCGAGAAGTGAGCGAGCGACGGTATGTGTTCGCTCACTTCCCAATCTATTGAGCCGACGTGTGACAGTTTCATATTTCTCATTTAAATGACCATCTATTTGGGTTCTGTGGATTAGTGTCACTCATACTTTTAACGAAATGTTCCTAGTATACTATAATCCTATACAAAGCAGTTTTCAAAGTAAAGTTGCCCTAGTTCCTGTAACCGAAATGTATGTGAGAATTCAAGCAGAACTGAAAGAACTGACAAGTTGTACTAAATGCAACATGATAAATGCACTCAATTTACATTGATATCATTTGTGACTGTTCTTGATCTACTTAACTGACCTCTAGCAATGCAAGAACTACTTTTACTGGTTTGTATTGTTTTACGTTTGACAGGACTGAAATTCTATCAGCAAGTCAAATTGGTGAATTTTATTAGAAGGCAAATCCATCAGTGTCGATGTCATGGCTGTCAAGAGAAATTTCAGTCGAAAATGGAATTAATAACTCACATGGAAAAAGACAATCATATAAGTGTTCTTCCTGAGAGATCTGTGTGGGATCAACCACAGTAAGGATCCATGACAAGATTTTACCATTTATTTTCTAGGGAGTCGCTGTTCTTTTTAGACATCTAAGGCAGTTTCTCAACTCCATTTCTCATGTTCTCCCACTCAGTCATGTTGTCAGTGTTTCCATTAGTGAGAACTGCTATGTTAAAGGAAACCTGTACTTATAGAATGAAGGTTGCCATTGCTGACTTTTCCTTATAAAAATGCTAGTTACTTTCCTGCAATGCAGATCTAATGTGTTAAAAAAAAACAATGATACAGATTAGAAGTTCAGACTTTGCTCTGACATCACTTTCTGCATACTTTCCCAGATCAGCAGCAGTAGACATACCTATGTGCAGACATACCTATGTGCAGCTGCAGGAGGAACCTCTGAAGCTTACAGGCCCATTTATACTTGATGTGGGTGTTTGGTCCCCTCCCACTGTCATACAGAGCTGACCACTGCTCAGGGCTCTTTTCTAGTGCTGGCAAGCATTCTACATGATGGCTTGTAATATTGAAGTGGTGTCAGACATGAACTCCTATACTTCCTGATCACCAATAAGATATGTAGAGTGCTTCTGTTCCCACTTGATGCTTTTTGGTCTAGAAATTAAGGTGTTAACTGTATGAAACTACTGTATGCATACTCTGAAATTATGAGAACGTTCAGGGTATTGCAAATGCTTTCCATCCCATATGAAAGGAACATACACCTGCAGAAAATGTTTGAATGCCACATTCCCTGCTTTATAAATATACCCCCAAGACAAATTTTAGAAAGTAAAAACTGACTTGTCGCCTAAATTATAGCCCAATAGTTGGTTTAGCTCACAAATACTACTGCCCAAAGCTAACAGTCCTGTGCCAAGTAGTACTTGTGTCCAAACAGTAGTTTTAAAAAGTAGTGATCCATGTTAGACTGCCTGCAGGCCTTATCGAGTTGCTGTTGGAACTACATGATGTGGTCAGTTGATTGTAAAACTACAAATTCTGGCAGGAAATCAAGTAACTGGCTCTCCTTTTTTGTAGTCGTGGTCATTTATTTATTTTTTTGGGGGGTGGGGGGTAGAGTTCATAGTTGTTTCTTACAACTAACACTCTGCAACCAGCATTTCCGCTACAACTTTCCTTCCATGCACTAGACCAAGGATCTCCAACTCCCGGGACGCAGACCGGTACTGGTCTGTGGCCTGTCAGCAACCCGAGCCGCAGCCACCTCTGCCCCGTTAGAAGCAGATCACTCCACCAATCCATTGTGCAGAGTGATCTCTGCGGCTCTGACATCAGAACCATCAGAGTAGGAGCCAAGCTGAGGGGAAGGAGATGGTGCACCTGTGAGGAAGCCTGCCAGAGAGCTGGAAGACGGCAAAGAGCAGGTCTCTTTTACTGTAATTCTGCCATTGTGCATTGCTGTGTGGTCTGTTATCTTGTATACATAGGTAATAATGATGGTAAGGTCAACTCATCCGTGTATTAGGGACATAATCATTATGTCAGTTCTGGGGCCAACTGGCTGATTGATAGCATGGTAAGGCAGACACTTCTGCTGATTATTCAGGTAACAGATCATTCACAGATCATTTTGTGCTTGTTGTAGCTCACAGCGTGGGAGGATGTTATTATTTTCAAAGCTGATCTAAACACCTGGGTTTCCAAGTACATTACAATGTAATAAACATAGAAATAAAGTGCATCATAAATGCGTTTGAATCATCCTGAACTATGCTCCCCGCAACCAGCCGCACTTCCCCGGTCTCTAGAAAATTTACTTCCACAAAACTGGTCCCTGGTGCCAAAAAGGTTGGGGACTGCTGCATTAGACAATATATTAGCAAACATGGGGAATGAGCATTACTTGCATTACCATGCAAAAATATAAAATACCGATTGCTAAAGATAGTTTATAAAACTAGAAGAAAAAAAAATGTTCTCCATATTGCACGTGTTATTTTTCTTGTGCCTGCTTAAATATGAAATAAAAATTAAATATTCTGGTTAAAGCAACATGACATGCAAATAACATTTTCTGTTTGTTGTCAGGTATTACTTTCCTACCTATGAAAACGATTCCCTCTTGTGCACCTTGTCTGACAGTGAGGAGGAGATAACAGTGCAGAATGAGGAGTTCCCTGTTATTGGAGAGGATCTTTCAAGACTTGAAGCACTACGGAGGACTAGTGTACTTAACCAGCTAGTACGGGACAGTGTCTTGAGGAGTTAAATGTGGAATATGCTGAACCTGAATTTATGCTTCTTATATTAGCAAAAGCTCATTAAATGGTATTATATTAACTGAATGCCAAGTGTCTCTGTGTTACAAAATGGGACAGAAAGAAATATCACAATGTACTTGCGAGTGTCTACTTTTATACAGACTTTGTAGATGCCTTTATTTCATAGTTCTGATCTCATATCATTTTTGAAGTGGAGCCTGTACTGAGTGGATATCTGCCACAAAGGGAACAGTTTTCATGGCTGTCAAAATACCTGTCACACAATTTAAATAAGATAATTCCATTCCAAGAAGCATTATAGTACTAATTAAACGTCTGTGATGTCTTTTATCATTCTTCATTACATTTAACAGGACATATAACATGCTACTATAACCTCTATGAAATATTTATTATTAATCATATTTTGATTCTTAATGAAAGGAAATGTTTTCCAGGTTTATAAAATATGGATTTTAGAAATAACAATATTATGCTCCTAATTCTATCTGCACACACAGAAAAATAATTTTATATCTATTTATTGATATTAGGAATTTATTGATGTAGAACCATTTTTGGATAGGGTTAGGGAATAAATGGGTTAAATAAAACTTCCTATTTAAAATCCTTTCTACCATGGTCATTATTCAATTTATAAAGCTTATCCTTTCCCTAGCTCAAATTTCCTGCCAGTTATATTCCGTGCAAATTATGTGAAGAAAAATAAATGAATTAAAAATGTTAGGGTTTGTTCTTACCACTATAGGTTTTGTTGGATCACTCAACAGTCAAGAAAGCAAAAACCTAAACATCTATGTTTTTATGACGTTGTAACTTGTCCTCTGTTGGAGTCGTCTCCTCATCTTGTTCCTTGCTCGTTTAGCTACACGTAATTATTGATATTATTTCTGGTTTTGTTTTCAAATGAAAGTCTATAATATAGCAAGTGGTAAACATCCCTTGGTGAGGCTTCGTCATTGCCCAGTCTTTACGTTGGAAACATGAGGCGTAGGCTTGCCAAGTGCTATCTGCTGAATGGAGGAGCCAAACTGAAGAGAGCTAATTGTTTCTCCAATATCTTTTATATCAGGACTGATGGTCACAAAAACACAAGCCTAAAAATATATAAAAGTGCTGTAAATATATTACAATTGAAAATGGCACATGTTATATGTGTGTTTATTAAGGTTACCAGGTTTTTCAATGAAAGCCAAGGACACACTATGGACTATGCCCACTTTTAACTACACCTCCAAAAACACATGCACTCTGTAGCCACATCCCCCAAAAAATCATACCCCCATATTTAGTACGATCTAAAACAACTGGTTATAGACTTTTGGAACAAGATTCAGATAATTAAGGTATAAAGGCAGAATGTTCTGGGCACTAGGAGTAAAGAAATAATGTGAATTGTGGGTGTGTGGCCAAATCACAGTAACATTGGGGAGTGCTGAATAGGTATGGTTAACTAAAACCTGAGACTACTCTGCTGTAGGTCAGGAGTAAGTAGTGCAGAAAGGGCAGGGGTCCGGAGTGTGTAATACAAGGAGTAGTGTTTATATTTCATACTTTGCAGTGTCAAATGATATCTGTGATATTGTACCTTGGCCTGGCCACTAAGAGATGGTTGCAGAAGATGGGTAAGTTTGGAGTTTCTATAGGGAACGTGCATGGAGTTCGTCTTTAAAGATGAAAAAACCTGTCAAGCAGCAGATAATGCAGTTAGTAAAATACATTCGTTGGCACTACTCGCTTATTCCTGACAAGCTTGTGCATGAAAACATTGTAACAAAATGTCTTAAATTTTTATGAACTAAACATTCTTTAACAGTAGACAAATTAAAGATAAACTATAATGATTTGGTCAATTTTATTTTACATTTTCTTCTCTATATTTGTATAAAATCCCTATTTTACATATAAACATTTATTATGGATGCTTCCATAATGGATATGTCTGTGAAGGTTCTCATTCATCCAGGGCATGGTATATCTGTAAAAAAATAAGTCAGTCTGAATTGAGAAAGCCGTTTGGATGACCAGTGAAACGTCTTCAGGAAAAATACAGCAAGTCCAGTTGCCTTGACTTATTTTTTTACAGATCTTCCATAATGTCTTTCTTGTCTCCCTAGGGCCAGCACAGTTTACCAGGTTTGGTATTTGTAGCTCTCGCTAAAACTGGGCACAATGTGCTATGCTGAAGACACAGCCTGAGAAGACTGACCATTCTCTATTATTAGACCCTGTCCCCAGCTCCAAGCATGCACCCAATGCTAACATCCCTGAGCAGGCCAAATAAATATTTTCACCATGAACATACATTCGTCTACTCACTTTTTGGGTACAGAGGTAGGGAGGAGTAAATCATTTAAAAGCCAGGCTCTAGCTAAAGCATATTTTTGGTGTTGAATATAGAGTTGGGGATAAGTTATCATCTCTGTCAGGTTTTTTTTTTTAAATTGTCATCTTTGTCACTTCCTACACTAGTGACCAAATACTATGTGAGGAGATGTATTTATTTTGAATAGACGCAACAAAAACCTTACAGGGATCCTTGCTTTCCTCACTCTGCTTAAGAGAAATGTATTACTGTCTCTGCCCCAGTTGGATTGATTGTGCTCATTTCCTCTTTCATTGACCATGCAGGCAGTGAGAGAACACTCCCCAAGGGAACAGCAATATAAACAAGACAGAAAAAGGTTTGCTAGAGTTTGGCTTTAATCTTCAAATGTTATCATTTAATGACTGTAGGCTTTACACTGGAAGTGATTTGGGCAGCGGTTAAGCCACCCAATCACTTCCATGGGGTGTGACACCTCCCCACTGAACTACCTCTAACATGTATCCCCACTATCTCTGACCAGCGCAGCAGTTTTTTTCTGCAGGTTCACTGATTGTCTCTATGCTGAATGAGGCCAGAAGCAACAAGCTTTTCGTCACTGCCAGTTTTAGAGCTGTCTTTCCTCTGTCGTTGTTGCCAGGAATTAAGCTGATCAAGCATGGTCTGTGCTTGATCAGCCTTTTTGGAATACAGAGGTGGCATTAGGCATCTAATAGACCCATAATGTCTCCTTAAAGAAAACCTGTTACCACATAGGAGTATTGTGAGCAATAAAGAATGGGGGGAAAAAGTCCACCCCCTATACAAGTACACACATGTGTCAACTGCACTTGCGTACCAAAATGACAATTGCCACCACAAGCAATAATTCTGCTTCTACAGAATCTCTATTTCTAATGAACAGCTAAAACAAGCGAAGCTGTTAAATACCTTCCAGCAGGGCAGCGTACAACTGGGACAGGACTTATATTTGATGCCTATGTGATTCAACAAAGCAGATTGACTTGCAAATATATAATGTAAATAATGCATCAGAACAAACTGGAGTGTATGATTTGCTGACATAAGATTTAGTACTAATACCTAATGGAAAACCAGGCCCAGAGCTGCATAACACACTAGAAACCGATTGGTAAGTATGCAAAAAGTATGATTCATAAAACATTTAACTTTTTTGGGTTAGAATAGAATTTTCTTCATACTGTTTTCATACTAATTCAGATTATTTGTTCTGGGCTAGATTTCCCACACTTGTGAAAATGCAGGTGACTGAATGAGTGACTAGATGGCACTGTTTGCCAAAATAAATGGACTGCTTCTCTACATTATGCATCATATCAATGGACATTTAAAAAAAATATATATATATCAGAAGTCATAGGTAAGGAACAATTTTTGAAAAGAAGCAGCTGTAAATCCAGATGCAGTCACATAAATCTCTAGATTAGTTATTTTGCTTTATAATATGTATAAAGATACCTGTCCCAATGCAGTGAGAGACTTATTAATTGCGGCAGCTTCCACTAAACGCTGACCAGCGGCTTCCGTTTTTGATATGCGTTCAGATCCTGCCAGGTCACACAGTGTAAGTGTAGAGCTAGAGACAGCCCCTGAGACGCTATCTATACCATTCAGTCTTAAGATCACCATCAAATGAGAACGTGAGCTGGTGGGACACAAATATATAATATTTACAACACATGTCACTGCAGATATAACTCATCACTGCACTGACCATAGGTGTTTTACTTGATAATTTTCTAAATGCTGACCAAGCCTTGGCTTTGTTGTTGGTATGTCCACTACTCTGTATAATAATAATACTCTGATAAATATTAATAAGATCTAAAACCTTACTATGGGTGATACACACTATATGATCATAAGTATGTATACCTTTGATCATATAGTGCATCAACAAGTTATTTAGTTGGTGTCTTTAGTGAAGGATACTGTTAATGCTATAGCATACAAAGACAATTGTACACTTGTGGCAACAGCATGGAGAAGGTCTTTTTTTGCATTACTGTGCTTCTGTGCACAAAGCCAGGTCCATAAAGACATGATGTTACATGCTTTGTGTGTAGAACCTCGAGTGGCCTGCACAGAACCCTGATTTCAACCATAACAAACATATTTGGGATGATTTAAATTGCTGATTTTGAGCCAGTTCTTCTTATCCAGCATCTGTACCTGACCTCAGAAATTCTATCGTCTATTGAAAGAACACCGGCTTCACTTTCCTCACGACACTGCAAGGCAGCCAGGCTTCCTGACTAATCAGGAAGCCAGGCGGCACATCATGACCCGGCTTCCTGATTGATCAGGAAGCCTGGCTGCCTAGCAACAAGTAAAGCCGGCTTCTTAGCCAATCAGGAAGCCAGGAGGTGGGTCATGACGTGCCGCACGGTTTCCAATTTGTTTAGGAAGCAAGGCTGCCTAGCAACAAGTGAAGCCAGCTTCCTAGCCAATCAAGAAGCCAGGAGGTGGGTCATGACAAGTGAAGCCAGGAGCTGGCTTCACTTGTTGCTAAGCGGCCTGGCTTCCTGACCAATCAGGAAGCTAGGAGGTGGGTCATGACCACCTGATAAGCAATATCCAGAGGATGTACATACCAGGAGAAAAAGCAATATCCTGAAGGTTGACGAGTTTCTAATAAATGAAAAAACGCACCCAATCATCTAAACTATAATATTTAAAGGCAAATCTTATCTACATCAATAAATGATTTATTTTTTATGTGAAAACTTCTGCAAGGTGCAAAAACAAAGACTCGCAAACCAGGAATTAACACACTCACCCTGTTTATGTGTTCTAAGTAATAAAGATAATTGCTTAAAACAAAATGTTTTTTTCAATGTTCATGGCAAAATGCTGTTACCTTTCTGTATTCATTTTGGTTGATGCCACTGTTCTGTTCTTCTCACCAAATAAGATTGTGTTTTTAATGTCAGCTTCTGTCAATACTTCAATTTCAGCCAGTCCTGGGACAGTTACTGCTTTCCCCTGTGATCTGATCTCCAGTTGTTTGTTGCCATTTTGTGAAAGAAGATCACATATGTTTTCATTGTAGATCTCGAGCATTGAAATCTAGTATGAGAAGAGCATACATTAACATGGCCCTAGCATAGATATACAAAAAAAACTTCTGAACAAGCACAACAAATAACTAAATATGTTTTACAATGACTACAAGAAGACATCATCATAAGGCAGGTATAAATAGAAAAGCATGGGGTCCCCCCCAATTCCTACCAGACCCTTTAGGTCTGGTAGAAATGTTAGGGGGGACCCCATGTAATAACAAAAAAACAGCCTGCGGTTTCCCGGCAATTCATACCAGACCCTTTAGGTCCCCCAATGCCAAAAAAGTTTTATAAAAATTGGGTCCTCCCTAAATTCCCAGAAGCCTGGCAGGGCTGTAAAGGGGGTACATACAAAAATCCTATTTTCTTTATTATCCATTGAGGGACACAGGAATTCTTAGAATGCTTAAGGTGCCCACACACCTTGCGATAATCGCGGGAAATCCGCGAACGTACGATTATCGCAAGGTGTGTTAAAGGGGTGCGACCTCTGCTACTGTAAGACAGTAGAAAGGTATCGTGGCACACTCACAAGCCAGCATGTAAAACAACTTGTCTCACCACTAAAATTAATAACAGAGGTTTGGATAATCCAAACCTCTGTCATTGTCCTTAGTGGTGAGACAAGTTGTTTTACATGCTGGTTTGTGAGTGTGCCATGATACCTTTCTACTGTTTTACTGTTCAAAGCCCATTTCGTGTGCACCTTACTGTATAGCTGGTGACGAATTGTTGAGTGCGTTTGTCATTTGTTTTGCTCTGCTACTGTAAGGTCGCACGACTTTTATCTTAGGAACGTTCAAAAACCCACCGAGAATCGTACGATTTTCGTCGGGTGTGTAGCATGTTCGTAAGATAAAAGCCGGACGGGCCGGTGTGCGCAAGCGCACACTGCCCGTTCAGCATTGCGGTCATCGGAAGCCTGCCCCTCAGGGGGGCGCGGCTTGCGATCATCGCAAGTACGATCTGCC